ATGAACACAATTAAGTGTTCTGGAATTCCCAGTCTTCACAATGTTATCCATAATTTGTTATGATCCACACAGTCAAATGCCTTTGCATAGTCAATAAAACACAGGTAAACATCTTTCTGGTATTCTCTGCTTTCAGCCAGGATCCATCTGACATCAGCAATGATATCCCTCGTTCCACTTTCTCTTCTGAATCCTGCTAGAATTTCTGGCAGTTCCCTGTCCATATACTGCTGCAGCCACTTTTGAATGATCTTCAGCAAAATTTTACTTGCATGTGATATTAATGATTATTTGATAATTTCTGCACTCGATTGGATCATTTTTCTTTGGAACAGGCATAAATAGGGATCTCTTCTAGTCAGTTGGCCAGGTAGCTGTCCTCCAAATTCTCGGCATAGACAAGCACTTCCAGCACTCCATCCTTTTGTTGAAAAACCTCAGTTGATATTCTGTCAATTCCTGGAGGCTTGTTTTTCGCCAATGCCTTCAGTGCAGCTTGGACCTCTTCCTTTAGTACCATCAGTTCCTGATCATATGCTACATCCTGAAATGGTTGAACATTGACTGATTCTTTTTGGTATAGTAACTCTGTGTATTCCTTCCATCTTCTTTTGATGCTTCCTGCGTCATTTGGTCAATCATATGGTCTACTATACCGGGAATGACAACTTGAAGAGGAATGGTGTTGCATTCATTGTCAAAAAGGACATTCAAGATCTATTCTGAAGTACAGCGCTGTCAGTGATAGGATATCCATACGCCCACAAGGAAGACAAGTTAATATGACTGTTATTCAAATTTATGCACCAACTACTAAGGCCAAAGATGAAGAAATTAAAGATTTTTACCAAATTCTGCAGCCTGAAATTGACCGAACATACAGTCAGGATGCACTGATAATTACTGGTGATTGGAATGCAAAAGTTGGAAACAAAGAAAGATCAGTAGTTGGAAAATATGACCTCGGTGATAGAAATGATGCTAGAGATCACAGGATAGAATTTTATAGGACCAGCAACTTCTTCATTATAACTACCTTTTTTCAGCAGCATAAACAGCGACTCTACACATGGACCTCCACCAGATGGAATACACAGGAATCAGACTGACTATATCTGTGGAAAGAGATGGTGGAGAAGCTCAATATAATCAGTCAGAACAAGGCCAGGGGCTGACTGTGGAATAGACCATCAGTTGCTCATATGCAAGTTCAAGCTGAAGCTGAAGAAAATTAGAACAAGTCCATGAGTGCCAAAGTACCACCTTGAGTATATCCCAGCTGAATTTAGAGACCATCTCAGGAATAGATTTGATGTGTTGAACACTAATGACCGAAGACCAGATGGGTTGTGGAATGACATCAAGGACATCATACATGAAGAAAGCAAGAGGTCATTAAAAATACAGGAAAGAAAGAAAAGACCAAAATGGATGTCAGAAGAGACTCTGAAACTTGCTCTTGAACATCAAGTACTTAAAGCAAAAGGAAGAAATGATGAAGTAAAAGAGCTGAACAGCAGATTTTAAAGGGCAGCTCAAGAAGACAATGACCTGTGCAAAGACCTGGAGTTAGAAAACCAAAAGGGAAGAACATGCTCAGCATTTCTGAAGCTGAAAGAACTAAAGAAAAAATTCAAGCCTCGAGTTGCAATACTGAAGGATTCCACAGGGAAAATATTAAACATTAAAAGTGCCCACTGTCACCTAAAGTGCCTAAGTATCAGCTTTGTTAATTAAAAAAAAAAAAAAAAAACCATACACATATATGTTGCTATTACCCTGTATCTGTATGTCCTTACATTTAGGCAATATTTACATATTTATATGTAACCTGGATGTTAGCAGGATCTTCCTCCTGGTTAAGAGCTAGATAAAACTGCTCCACCTCTGATTCTGTGTCTTGCGGTAGCATAGTGTCCTCTCCATGATTTTCTTGGACCCTAGGGTGGCGGGGGTGTGGGGGGTGCTGGAAGGGAAGAAGATAGTTCTACTGCCATGGCTCTGCTTTCTGTCCCCACTAATTTGGGTCATTTATGGAGCTCTGGCCAGCCTGTGCTTGTTTCCCCATACTATTTCAGACATGGGCACTTTCCGTGATTCACACAGAGAAATTCTGTACATGTAAAGACTTTATGTGGGTAGTGGTCTTTACTGAAGGTTTAGAGGACAAGGAGGAGAGACCTCTCTGTTTTTTAAAAGTTCTTTGTTCACCCCCACCAGGAAGTTTTCACTGTCCACCTTATGCCAGCAAGCATCACAGCTCCACACCATACTTCTCTCTGTTTCTTTCTGCCACAGAAACATGCTATAAGCATTTTACTGTCTTTTCGGCTGCAGTATCCTTAATCACAAGATCTCATATCTCAAGAGGCTTCATAAATTATTTTTCTAAATAAAGAATATTCTCTCCCTAAGAGATATTCTGATGCCAGCTAAGATAATAACAATTTCACACCTAATACACATTGTCAAGTCAGCCCCAACTCATGGTGACCTCATGTATGACAGAACGAAATGTTGCCTGATCCTACACTGTCTTTATGATTATTGGTATGTTAGAGTCTGTGGTTGCAGCTGTTGTGTATTTTAAGTGTCTTCCAACCTTCGGGGCTCATCTTCCAGCACTACATCGGACAATATTGTGTTGTAATCCATAGGGTTTTCATTGGCTAATTTTCAGAAGTAGATTGCCAGGCCTGTCTTCCTAGTCTGTTTTATTCTGGACATTCTGCTGAACCTGTCCACCGCTGGTAACCCTGCTGGTATTTAAAATACTGGTGGCCTAGCTTTCAGCATCATAGCAACACGTTTGCCACCACAGTACGACAAACTGACGGTAGGGTGGTGGGCTGTCTGTTTAGCATACGCAAATGCTCACAAATGTATCTGCAGGATAGCCTCCCCTATTTTCAGTAGAATTAATTTTAATTATGATTTCTCTGTACTGGTAATGGATGTGCCTTTGATGTTCTGGATGGGCCGACTTCCTCAACTGTGGCACAGTTATTATAATTCTGCATGAAAAGCCTCCTCCTGTCCTCCCCATCCCCTGGGCAGACCTTTCGAGGGCTTTCCCAGCTTCTCAGTTTCTGGGTCAGGTCAGCAATTTGGTCCAGTCAGGGTCCATTAGCATCCTCTGGCTACTCTAAATCTGCCTAGACTGCTTTCCTACGTGCTGATCTTGTCCTTGACTCTCAGGCAGAAGGGAGCGTTGCTGTGGAAGGGCTTTTGGCAGAGCTGGGGTGTGGAGTAGCGTGTGGGGAGTTGGGAGAAAAAGGAGGGCTTGTTTTATGGGGGCCTTGACTGGCTTGGAGCCAATGGCAGCAGCCCACCAGGATGCCACTTCTTGGTTCCACAGCCTATGTGATACCTGCCTTGAGTCAGAAGAGGGAGCCCGGAGTTCATTGTCTGCACAATAGTATCATCACTGCAACTCTTGACTGACATAGATTTTTTCTCCTAAAGGCTGAATCCTTTAAAAGGAACTCAGACTTCTGTACTGCTCTGACAAAAAAATGTCTAGATACAAATAAGAGCTTTTATGACTCTTCCCTTTGTGCTCATTTTTTAACCTCTGTTTACTAGCTATGTGACCTCAGGGCAGTTACCAAACCTCTTGGAGGCTTAGTTTCCTCTCCTGTAAAATGGGAATAACGCAATTATGTCTATCTGAGGGGTGCTTGTAAAGATAGTTAAATCCAGTTCTGTACCTAAGAGCTCAGCACAATGCCCGTTTCATTAGAAGCTCTCAGTAAATGGCAGCTTCTAGTGACAGTAACAGTAACGTTAACCTCAGTTTCCAAGGGGTTCAGTGCAATGGCAAAGCCCCAGGCATTTGGCACATGCTGACCTGGTGTCCAAAAGGGATCCTGAGAAAACTTTATTTTCCTAGTGGAAGCCCTGGGAAAAGTCCATGCCCTCTTTATCTTCCTTCAATGCCCCTTTCTCCCCTGCATCCTGGTTTTTCACTTGGCCTGAAACTGGACTTCATCTGCCACGTAAGTTTTGGATTTGGCTTTAGGGAACGTATGCCTTCAGAGACGCAGGGCAGTAGGCAAGTCTGTTCTTGGAATTCTGTATGAACAAGGCAGGGAGCACCTGGAGCAGACTTAGTTTTCTGGGGAAATGGAGAGAAAACCTAGCCAGATCGCTGGGAGGTAAAGCAGGATTCTCCTTCCCTCTGGCACCAGTGCCCTGGAAACTAATGGTGAACCTCAGCTCCCTAAGAGACCCACATTTTTGGGCTGTCCCCTGAAGAGCATGATAAAGGCACTGCTGCTACACAGTGCCACGAACGTGCCTGGGACTTCTCACCCTTACACTTAGGGGGTGCACAGAGTTTTAAAATCCTACTGAGGGCAGAGCACCACACAGATAATTGGGATAAGTTTAGAGTAAATCCAAGAGCTGGTGTATTCCTCTGGCTACTGTTACAGCCAGCCACATCCCAACTTCAGGCCAGAGAGCCTGGAGTACAGAGCAGAAGCAGTGGGCTCCCCAGGTTCTTCATTCAGAACCACCTGCCTGCCTCTTCCCTTTTAACCCACTATAGATCCAGGTCACATTTATTCCCTTATAAGGTTCAGGTTTCCTTATCATTTCTTACCTTATATCTTCTATATGGCTTCCTTGGATTTTAAATTCCTTGAAGACAGGGTCCAGAAACTATACTATTCTGTAAGCACATTTTACACAGACCATCTAATAAGTGCCCAGCAATTTTTAATATGGATGGTTATGGATATCCCTAATATCAAGTTGAAATTAAAACACCCATGTTGACTTTCATTTCATAAATAATTTATTTTTCAAGGTAAAAGTTTAAATAAAGAATAAAAAATAACTTAATGCATAAATTAATTTTAAAAAAGTTTAGAGTCTTTAACTGTCCTTTCAAAGGCAGTGCATTCTCTGAGAGTCACTTAAAGAGCCTCTGCTGGTTGAAGAATGCCTGACGTTGACAACATTTTCCAGTCCCGGAGGCACAGGCTGGGAGATCCTCAGTTTTGGAGGTAATCTGTAAGTGTGCTAATGAAGGAAAAGTTCCTGTAGATTTCTGTCCAAACTACCGTCCAGGCACAGCTGCTGTAGCTCTTGGCATTCAGGTACTGGACAATCCTCGTGTAATAGTTTCTCAGGTGCCACAGCATGGTCGTGCTGTTTTCCCAGGTGGGGTTCTCCTCCTCCGTATTTTCATCCAGGATTGCCTTCAGACGGTCTATCTGGTCAGAGAGCTCAGATCGAAGGTTCTCAATGATGGTCTCATTCCAGCCAGTATGGGACAAGTTTTTTCCAAAAATTTCAAAGATCTGCAGCAACATGTCATGGATGACCAATACAGCGTCCTCCTTCTGGAACTGCCGTGGCTGCTCAATCTCCTTAGGGACCTCAAAGTTCGTCCTGTTGTTGAGGCAAGATTCAGGGGTCCCACTCAACTTCATCATGAGCCTCTGACACTCCAAATTGGTACTTCTTTGTTGGAATTGAAGCAAGTTGAAGCTCCTGGAAAGAGCAGTGATGGAGAAGCACAACAGGAGAGCTATTTGGAGGATGCACCCAGTAGTCATGATGAAAACAGGAACAAGGTTACCTAGCACTACCTGTGCACCCAGTGACGGCTTCAAGAGTCTGAGTGTGAATGGCTTTCCTCCATAGGCATGGGCTATTTATATGGGATAGAACAGTCCTACTGCAGAGGAATTTCCCACTTTCAGTTCTCCCTTTCAGTTTTCCTATGTCACTAAAATTATTAGTAGTCACTAAAACTCCTTTTCTGTAAGCTCCTTACCATTTTATTATACACATACATATTTATATATATATATAAGAGAAAGAGATATACAAACTGTGAAGATTTCTAATGTTTTGTAAAGTTTCAGTGAATTGCTAAATACTAAAGAAAAAAACTAATAAGGGCAAACCCTACTGTTACAGGGAATTTTAATTTGACAAAGATTTTTTGTTTTTCTTTTTAAGTATTATGAGATTTACTTTTTGCCATTGTTTATCTGGTAGTTACATTTTTCATAAGATTAGATTTAATTTCCCATTATACTGTCACAAACAATAAAAATATGCAGTTCATGACTTCCAAAAAAGGACACCTACTCTTCCTGTCTAAAATAGAATAGTGTTAAACTAAATTCACCTGAATATGTTTTTGGAGGACCTTAATCATGTATAAGATGCCACATAGCTAATCACTTCCCTGGAAATCACAAGTATCTGGAACTCAGCTAAAAGCCGGGGATTACACAAGATCTCTGAGCAGACAAAGTGAATGTTACACAACCCATGCATAAAAGCTCATGGTTCCATTCATAGTTCTAATAATTATGGTACTTAAAGTAATAATTTTCAGTTTTCAAAAAAATGTACATTATCTTCTAACCTGAATTTACCAAACCCCTTCTGTGCAAGGTATTATTCTATGTGTTGAAGATACACAGTTTTCACTCTCATGGATCTTACAGTTAACTGAGGAAGAAGAATGTTCATCAAAGAATTATACAAACATAAAATGCAACTGTATCAAGTGTTACTGAAGAGAGGTTTATGGTACTGTGATATGGGATAGGAGCCCTAGTGGCACAGTGGTTAAGAGCCTGGCTGCTAACCAAAAGGGCAGCAGTACGAATCCACCAGCTGTTCCTTGGAAACCCTATGGGGCAGTTCTACTCTGTTCTATAGGGTCGCTATGAGTCAGAATCAACTCGACGGCATCGAGTTTGGTTTCGGGTATGACAGGGTATATGATCTAATAGAAGAGATCGGTAGTAGTAGGCTTCCCTGAGGTAGTGATATTGGAGCCTAAATTGGAAGGAAGGTCAGATGGAATTGCATGTGCAAAGGAATAGGAGGATGCACGGTAAGAGTAAAGGACTGGACAAAGGCCACTGTGGCCAGAATAAAAGGAATGAGTCAGAGAATGGTCTCAGATGAGGGCAGAGTAGGTAGGACCCAGATTCTGTCCTATAGGGTCACTATGGGGTTTGTTTTTTTTTTTTTTTTTATTTTGTTTTATGAGGCCATAGGAGCTCTGGTGGCCCAGTGGTTAAGAGCTTGCCTGCTAACCAAAAGGTCAGCAGTTCAAATCCACCAGCTGCTCCTTGGAAACCCTGTGGGCCAGTTCTACTCTGTCCTATAGGGTCACTATGAGTTGGAATCAACTCAGTGGCAACTGGTTTGGTTTTTTTGGTTCTATGAGGCCATAAAGAGCCCTGGTGGTGCAGTGGTTAAGTGCTCAGCTGCTAACCAAAAGGTTGGCAGTTTGAACCCACCAGCCGCTCCACAGGAGAAAGATGTGGCAGTCAGCTTCCATAAAGATTACAGCCTTGGAAATCCTATGGAGCGATTGTAAGAATTATATAAATACAAAATGCAACTGTGACAAGTGTTACAGAAGAGAGGTGATTGCAACACCATGGCTTGGGTCAGGTGTGCCTTAGTCTTCAAGGTGACATCTTTGCTTTTCAACACTTTAAAGAGGTCTTTTGCAGCAGATTTGCCCAATGCAATGTGTCGATTGATTTCTTGACAGCTGCTTCCGTGGGTGTTAACTGTGGATCCTAGTAAAATGAAATCCTTCACAACTTCAATATTTTCTCCATTTATCATGATGTTGCTTATTGGTCCAGTTGTGAGGATTTTTGTTTTCTTTATGTTGAGGTATAATCCATACTGAAGGCTGTGGTCTTTGATCTTCATCAGTAAGTCCTCCTCACTTTCATTAAGCAAGGTTGTGTCATCTGCATAACACAGGTTGTTGATGAGTCTTCCTCCAATCCTGATGCCCTGTTCTTCTTCCTATAGTCCAGGTTTTCAGATTATTTGCTCAGCATACAGATTGAATAAGTATGGTGAAATGATACAATCCTGACACACACCTTTCCTGACTTTAAACCACACAGTATCCCCTTGTTCTGTTTGAATGACTGCCTCTTGATCCATGTATAGGTTCCTCATGAGCACAATTAAGTGTTCTGGAATTCCCATTCTTCACAAAGTTATCCGTAATTTGTTATGATCCACACAGTCGAATGCCTTTGCATAGTCAGTAAAACATAGGTAAACATCTTTGTGGTATTCTCTGCTTTCAGCCAGGATCCATCTGACATCAGCAATGATATCCCTCGTTCCACGTCCTCTTCTGAATCTGGCCTGAACTTCTGGCAGTTCCCTGTCGACATACTGCTGCAGCCACTTTTGAATGATCTTCAGCAAAATTTTACTTACATGTGATATTAATGTTGGATCACCTTTTTTTGGAATAGGCATAAATATGGATCTCTTCCAGTAAGTTGGCCAGGTAGCTAGCTGTCTTCCAAATTTCTTGGCATAGACAAGTGAGCACTTCCAACACTGTATCCATTTGTTGAAACATCTCAATTGGTATTCCATCAATTCCTGAAGCCTTGTGTTTCACTAATGCCTTCAGTGCAGCGTGGACTTCTTCCATCAATACCATAGGTTCTTGATCATATGCTGCCTCCTGAAATGGTTGAACAGCGACCAATTCTTTTTGGTATAGTGACTCAGTGTATTTCTTCCATCTTCTCTTGATGCTTCCTGCGTCGTTTAATATTTTCCCAGTAGAATCCTTCAATATTGCAACTCGAGGCTTGAACTTTTTCTTCAGTTCTTTCAGCTGGAGAAATGCCAAGCATGTCCTTCCCTTTTGGTTTTCTATCTCCAGGTCTTTGTGCATATCATTGTAATACTTTACTTTGTCTTCTGGAGGCACCCTTTGAAATCTTCTGTTCAGCTCTTTTACTTCATCATTTCTTCCTTTTGATTTAGTTATTCCATGTTCCAGAGCAAGTTTCAGAGTCTCTTCTGACATCCTTTTTGGTCTTTTCTTTCTTTCCTGTCTTTTTAATGACCTCTTGCTTTCTTCATTTATAATGTCCTTGATGTCATTCCACAACTCATCTGGTCTTCAGTCATTAGTGTTCAACGTGTCAAGTCTATTTTTGAGATGGTCTCTAAAATCATCTCAAGGTCATACTTTGGCTCTTGTGGACTGGTTCTAATTTTCTTCAGTTTCAACTTGAACTTGCATATGAGCAATTGATGGTCTGTCCCACAGTCAGTCCCTGGCCTTGTTCTAACTGATGATATTAAGCTTTTCCATTGTCTCTTTCCACAGAGGTAGTCAATTTGATTCCTGTGTATTCCATCTGGTGAGGTCCACGTGTAGAGTTGATGTTTATGTTGTTGAAAAAAGGTATTTGCAATGAAGAAGTTGTTGGTTTTGCAAAATTCTGTCATAAGATCTCCAGTATTGTCTCTACCACCAAGGCCTTGTTTTTCAACTACTGATCCTTCTTCTTTGTTTCCAACTTTTGCATTCCAGTTGCCAGTAATTAACAGTGCATCCTGACTGCATGTTCGATCAATTTCAGACTGAAGAAGTTGGTAAAAATCTTCAACTTCTTCATCTTTGGCCTTAGTGGTTGGTGCGTGAATTTGAATAATAGTCATATTAACTGGGCTTCCTTGTAGGCGTATGGATATTATCCTATCACTGACAGCATTGTATTTCAGGATAGATCTTGAAATGTTGTTTTTGACAGTGAATGCAATGCCATTCCTCTTCAAGTTGTCATTCCTGGCGTAGTAGCCCATATGATTATCTGATTCAAAATGGCCAATACCAATCCTTTTAAGCTCACTAATGCCTAGGATATTGATGTTTTGCATTCCATCTCATTTTTGACAATTCCCAATTTTCCTAGATTCATACATCGTACATTCCATGTTCTGATTGTTAATGGATGTTTGCAGCTGTTTTTTTCTCATTTTGAGTCATGCCACAACAACAAATGAAGGTCCTGAAAGCTTGACTCCATCCATGTCATTAAGGTCAGACTCTGCTTTGAGGAGGCAGCTCTTCCCCAGTCTTATTTTGAATACCTTCCATCCTGAGGGGATCATCTTCCAGCACTCTGTCAGACAATGTTCCACTGCTATTCCCAAGGTTTTCACTGGCTAATTCTTCTCAGAAGTGGACGGCTGGCTCCTTCTTCCTACTCTGTCTTAGTCTGAAAGCTCAGCTAAAACCTGTCCGCCATGGGTGACCCTGCTGGTATTTGAATACTAGTGGCATAGCTTCCAGCATGTGGGGGATCTCCCAAATTGTCCTCCTTTACTATTCCTTCTTAGTTGGCTGTAATCACCTCTCCTCAGAAGGGATGATCTTTTCTTGATCTTCCATAAAATTATTAGGCTTGAGCTGTGCTGATGTAATACACCCTAAACGGGGTGGAAAGGAAGTAATTTATTTTAATTCCCTTCTAAAATTGGGAGAGGAGGAAAGATACCAGCATCATTCATTCAAATAAGTGAATAGTATTGAGACTTGAAAAGATGCAGCGAACAATGAAAACAACAGGGGGAGGGGATTCTGGAAAGATAGCAGTGGTGATAGCATAGTTTTTAATCTCCCTGAGACCTCACATAAAAAGACCCAGCAATTAGATAGCCCAAAATCCCACGTAACACAAAACTGGGTGACATGACCCACAAAAATACAAGCCAAACCAAAAAAACCAAACCTGTTGCCACT